CTCTGTGTAGTTTGTTTGAGTCATGTTTGCATAAATTAATGGTTCCAGATTTAGGCAGTTATCAGCTTTTTTTCTGATTCATAAGCTTTTTTCCCCTAACTCCTGTTATTCCCTGTAAAGATGAGATTGAGTTGAATATGATCCAAACATTTATACTTGTTCATGAGCGTCAGATGTATTGCACTGATGGTTTTTATTATTAAATCAAAAAAAAGTGATTTATTAGTAGCATTAGAGAATGAATGGTGAAGTGACGTCACCGAGCACAGTGCAGCTGCATACAAGGCAAAGGACAGATTTTCCTCTCCCTCAGATATGGCCTGCTACCCAAAGTTGTCTTTGAATGGTATGTCCAGGATTTCCTGTCCCAAGGCATAAGCATGGCTCAGGAACGAACACCCCTCCCCGCCCACCCAACACCCCAGCATTGCTTGAACAACTATTAACAATTAGATGGGAACTGACTTGTGTAAATCTTCTGGTGGAGTGCAGTACCTGGGACAAGTGCGAGTACATTGGTGCCCAGTAACCAGGGTTCCAGTGGGCCTGCTGTTAAACCCGGGGCCAACACTACTGTGCTCAGGTTTAGGGATGGGGCTATGGGATGCTCACTATACTTGAGTCAGGGGTGGGACTGGGATCGGATAGGATGCTGAGTACCTGGGCCCAGAGAAGCACTCGGGTCTGCAATTCCTCTCATAAAACCAGAAAGTGCTGGATAAATTCTGCGGGTCTGGCAACGTCTGTGGAGAGAGAACAAAGTTAACAATTTGAGTCTGTTGTGGCACTTTTTCAGAACCTTTAATTTCTGTCCTTTGCCCTGGCAGTGGAATGGGTATGTGGAGAGAAATAAGGCCGCTGCCCTTTTAAGCATTGTTACCTCTGATCAATGCAGCTGGTCTGAAGAAACACCAGGTCGTGGAGAGCCAGGCTGACAGGTTTTCTTGTGAACGTTGTAGGTTTAATCGAACAAGTTGCCCACAAGTGACTAGCACATCAGCAAACGTGGCTGCAAATGTTTCATCCATTTTCAAGAAGAGATCACTGTTAACATCTGTAAAATTCAAAAGGTTGCTCTTTGATATATTTGAGAAATATTATTATGGAAAACAAGCACACATAATTTCAGTATTAGGACGAAAACAAAAATGGGCATATTTGTTTGATGTACACATGTCAGATATTGGTGCTTTTTCATTAAGCCTTCAGCAGAAAATGGTGAGAATAATGTTCTGTGAAGGGTGGGTGAGAATCGTTTTTAAACCACCTGTAGCCCATAGTGAATGGTGATTGACCAATGTAATGTGCATTCTTGAGTAAAAAACATTAAATTTTAGAATTTGAAAACTCCAGGTATGGAATTTCTGTTTAGTTCTGTTATTTTCTTCATGAATTGACATGACTGGCAAAAGATCAGGGTATGGTATGCGCATTTTCATCCAGTGCAACTTGTGTTTTTCTGATATTTTGCTCTTGTTTTTAATGTGTCGCGCTGGGTGAAAGACCTACCCACAAGTTTGCTTCTCTGACACATGTTCAAATGTCATCCTGTGGGCGATGCAGTGTGATTGAGGTCAACTAACTCCATTGCGGTTTTATGCATGTAGTTCAGCCCCATTGCCTTGGCCAGTCTTGTTGGCAGGGCCTTCATCCAGCATGATTGACACTAATTAAAAAATGCTTTGTGTCATATATACGTTTAAATCCAACTTCACCAAGTTATCACTCAAATATATGTAAGAATGTTTTTCAAAGTTAAAATTGAAATACACGACTCAGTTGCATTTGTTTAAATTAGATATTGCATTCTACGATAATTAAATAATTTTGAGTAGAAATTAAGGAAGGCTAGCATTTCTCAAAACTGGTGCAGTTTGCTCTGTAATAACTAATTGCACCCAAAGTAGCAAGTCTAGCCCATAATATTTCATTCAATTCTTCTCTATGCTTGATCTCACAGGGAGAGACAGCACTCTACACTAAGTCTCAATGCCTCAGACTTGAAATAAGCTGGAGCTAAGTGTGTGCTCCATTTTCTTTCCTTCCTGTGCATTAGCTGAGTCATACTGATTCCTCTACATGTTCATAAAGGGAAAAGTAAGCCCTTTGAATTGGTAATAGCTTAATGTCTGGCACTGAAGCCTGAGGCAAATACAACACAGCTGTTTCAAGATTACATTTTTATCTTTGGAGAAAACAGTGCCCAGCTTTTTAATATGTCAGGAAATAACTGGAAACAGTCTTTCCATGTAGAAAACAGAACTTGTAATGAAAAATATAAGAGAACATATCATTGCATTATGAATTCATATTCAAAGTAAAATATTGCAATAGATTTTACTAAATTCTGTATATAATATCTTACTTCTCAAGCATTGAGTCACGAGCAAAATGATTGAGCCTTGAAATGTTCCATAAAATTCCTGTTTAACATTTTTTGTCTACTTATGTGCTGGTAATGTTAGGGCAGCCAGGGTCAGGTTAGTCATAGCAGGCAGAATTGCATGGTGTACAAAATGGGATTCAACAGTGACCATTAAGAGTTGTGGAGAGCTAACCTTGATTCGCCTCCAAAAACAGACGTAGCAGTGTGTGATTAACCCATGCTTGGTGTGTATAATGCAGAGAGCCAACCAACGTTGTGCTACCTGCTTGTTTGTTCTATATCCTGCTAGCACCAGCCGTTGTTGATTGGCTGGACACGTCAGCAAGCAGGCAAAATAAGTGGCTAGCTCCACTTAAAGTTAGTCTGCATCCCTTAAAAAGGAGCTGGATTTTGGCTGATATTGTATTTGAAGAGAATCTGACCTGAGAAGAGTGTGAGGAATGGCACAACAAGGGAAAGCAGGCTTCAAAATTTTCAGACACTGCATTGGAGGTCTTGCTGAAGAAGATGGAAAGGAGGGAGGTGTCTATATTCATAGGTGGAAAGGAAGTCCAAGAACCCAGACCTGCTAGTGGAGAGTGCCATGAAGAGGTTAATGAGGAATACAGCACCACCACTTGATTTCTCACACTTGGTTACCAGCTCCAATGTCTACCCTGAGCGTATCATAGAGGATTGATTAGAGGAGGGTTGTACACATGGTGAGACACTTCTTTTCTTGCCCCTGTCCTGTTTGCAACCTGCTTGTGCCCAAAAGTGCCAGCTCCCCTGAGTTTTCTGCTGCAGAGTATTTATGTAAAGACTTTTAGTGCTGATGGTTTTGTGCTACAAAATGATTAGTGCAATGGAAAGCTTATTATACAACATTTTTGGAAGGCTTTCAACAAGGTCCCACCTAAGAGATTAGGATGCAGAAGTAAAGTGCATGGGATTGACTTGGCACACTGACGTGGATAAAGAACTGGTTGGTAGATAGGAAACAATGACACCTATCGACTCTGGCTTTCAGTATCTGTAGTTCTCATTGTCTCCAACTTACAGTCAGGTTACATGTCTTACAGACTGTTCCGTTCCTTCTCCATCAAATGTTTTTCAGGAACAGCTTCTCTGTCAATTCTTTTGTCAGGAATATTAACTAGTTGTACCATAGGTACTTTGTTCTTTAGATGGTGTTCTCTCTAAGACTTAGAGAAGACTGTGAGAGCCAGCGATTCTCTTTTGAGAGCTGAGAGCTGTTAACTCTGGCAGATGGCAGTTAGCTCTCTTGTCTTTGTCCAACTGCCCTCTTCTTTTGTATCCTTGATGACGTGTCAATTTCTTACACTAGGACTGGTCCTATGTTGTCGAAACCATCAGATTTAAATTTAATTGGTTTTTGGTATTTAAGTGCCTGGTTCAAATTCATTGGCTAAATTTAAAACTTGTCTTGATAGCAGGCCAAGCAGCAGTTTTGTTTTGTTAACTGTACGGCTTTTTGATACAAATGTTTCGATTCAGGTGCTCTCTGTGTATTTGCAAACTTTCAAGCTGCTGCTACAGGCATTTTCTTTAATCTCTAAACATAGAATAAGCACATCATCTTTTAAAGGAATCATGCAATACTTTCCCTCTTAGCATTTACAAACACGAAATTCTAACTTCCTGTCTCCCGATCTACAAGTACTCTACTCAACTTCGCAACAATAGGATTTCTGAGCATCACCTTTGAGGAGTGACAGTGGCTCCGTGGAGATATTTGTCCTTTCACTCTGCCAGTGTGCCTGTTGATGCATATTACCCATTCTGTCTGGATGATTGTCACCCATGGTGCTATGGTGAAAAAAACAAGCAAGATTTTGCTTTTAACCTTTGGTTTGAAATATCTATTTGGTTATGACATTTACTTTGTGCATTGTGGCCAAGCCGATGCTATGATGTTTAATTACAGAGTGAAGGTATGTGGAGAATTGATGATGAATGTGGAATTAGAGGCTTTCTAGATTTTCTTCAGATTCCTTCTGTTGCTCACCAGCTACTTAGATAGTGGCCAGAGCTGCCCTATCCTGGTGTAGAGGTTGCATAGCCTGCAGCAAACTAATTCAAACTTGATCCTCTCTGCCAAGCTCTCTAGGGCCCCTCCATATCAGTACATCTACTGGAGTTGTACTTTCAGCATGCTGATAGCTGGCTCTATCAGCTTGTGTATGTCAGGATTGTACTCATTGTATACTTGCTGTGTGTGTTTGTCAGACGGTTACACACTAGAGTGTTCTTCCTGCTGCTGAATGCTTGCAGAGCTGTGCCAGTTTCACAGAAAGTGTTGGCTGGTACGTTGAACTCAAATGACCCACTAGAGTTAGAGCAGTGTTACATGCTGCTTGGTGTCACAGTCTACCTGCGCTGCATACTTCTGTTGGATGTTCATTCCATGTACATTAATGTCTCTATCGATATGCCATTTGATGCGTTTCACCTCACAGTTGTGCACGTACAACATGGATGCCATTTTTGCCTAAAAATCACTTTTTAAAATGTGAAAAAAATGCTACTTGGTCACTGTCCTTAATTTACTTCTCTTTCACAGCAATGACAGTGAATCAATAGCAAATTTAACATTGTTCCATTGTATTCGCAGCTTGATAATCCAGACGAGCAGGCAGCTCAAATCCGAAGGGAGCTGGATGGGCGTCTTCAGATGGCAGATCAAATAGCTAGGGTGAGTAAGAAGACACTGTTTTCTTCCATTTATTCATTTTATGTTTTCTTTTAAGAAAAAGTAAGCTATTTCATTTTCTTACCAAGTTGAACTTTTGTGAAACACTGTAGCTTCAACAAATCTTGATCTATTTAAATAAATGGAAATTGTCTCTGCTGATTTCTGCAAAGCTCAAAAGTTAAAAGCTGTGACTTTGCTACTGATAATTATCCTGAGCAAATAATCGCTTGTACTTCAAGTCATACTACTTAGTAGACCTTACCAACTACACTGGCAACAATTATTTCTTGAGTGATTTTTGGTGATGGCACTGCAAGTATAACGATGCTTCAGAGATATCCAGGAGAAATAAATACATGCATTACATAATCCAACTGATAAAATGTAACCTAGAACATTGAAACTCTTTCTCCTTTTTCCTGCTTCAGCACAACTTGAAACCCAAGTAAAAATGGTTTGTGCCTAATTTGGAAAAAAACAAATATTTCCCCTCAAAATTGACATTAAAATTCAGTTTTAACACGGCAATCTAATGTTTCTATCCTTTAGATATAAGGATAATAGTTAGTTGTTGTAGTGCTGTTCTAACTTGGTACAATGGTATGTGATATACTATTTGCCCAAAGCATGCAATTAAAAAAAACCTAGTATTGCTTCAGATCAAAGTAAGCGATTCAATCCAGGAAACTTGCCAGCTACCCTGTACACCACAGCATTTTCCACTATCAGAAATATTTTCTGCAGAAAAAACATCACTTGAGTGTGAATACAGGATGGAAAGTGAGTAGTTTTGGTCCCCTTATTTAAGGGAAGATATCATTTCACTAGAGGCAGTTCAGTGAAGGTTAACATGATCCCTAGTCTGGAGATATTCTCTTAGGAGCAAAGAATCAACACATTTGGACTCTGCTTATTGGAGTTTACAAGAGTAACAGGTGATCTCATTGAAATGTATAGAATTCTTGAGGGGTTTCACAGGGTAAATGCTGAGAGAATCTAGGAGGATCTAGGACCAGAGGATAGTTTCAGAACAAAGAGGCACTAATTTAAGACTCAGATGAGGAGGAATTTCTTCTCTCGGAGAGTTGAGAGTCTTTGGAACTCCTTATCACAGAGAGCTATGGGAGCCGAATCCTTAAGTATATTTCAGGCTGAGATAGATTTTTGATCAATGGGGAAATTAACGATAACAGGGAAAGGACGTGATAGTGGATGTAAGGCATGTCAGACCAGTCATGATCCTTTTGAATGATGGAGCAGGTTCAAGGGACCAAACGGCTTACTCCTGTTCCCATTCCTTAAGGTTTTAAAGTATTTTTGCATGAGATAATATTGATAAAGTGCTCTAATGTCATCTTAAGCCATTATCATGTCATTAAATTGTAATGTAGCCAACCTATACTTTATTCTCCTCAGTTATTCTACACTGTATATGATCTTACTGAAGAAGCTATTGATGATTGAAGTAGTGATGAAATTATACTGCACATTAATTATACACTGCACTTGGTCAGGTAGATCAGCATCACAGCCAAGCCATCGCTGACAAGGCATTCACTCAAACACTCTTTTTGGTCAGTGCATTAATTGCTCTTTACACAGACATAATATAGTTTCCAAGTACATCCTTGCCAGATTTGCTCCCATTTCATCGATATCGCATCACTGAATATGCCCTGTGTACTTATCCACGTGGAAGTCCTGCTAAAAGCTAGGATTGAAAAGTACAAGTTTTGAGGAAATCCTAACCTCTGTTCCTCCACATCATCATTTTCTGTTTGTTCTAATTTTAATATTTGAAAGGGTAACGTGCTGATTGAGCAAACATTGAATGCTATAGGAGAGGAAATTCACGTCTTTTGTGTCTTTAAAATGATGACGTGTATATCATGTTTTGACCTTTATAGGTGGTACTTAATGCTATCTATTTAGCTGATGGGGAGGGCATTTGAGGGCAGTCGAGGGAGATGGGAGGAACCCCACCACCATCCTGTGTCCATCCCACTGGATTCATGGCAGGAAACCCTTTGAATGGCCTTCCACCCAGCACCAGTTGAGATGTTTAAGTGAATGATTTTTAATGCCTCTTTAAGGGCCCCTGCTTGCTGCTGCTGGCATCAATGCAGGGGCAGACACAGAGAGCATGACACGTAAATTCTGCAGATTGCTTATTACCTGTCGGGCATGTCCCTTCTTCAAACACACAGTGCTTGATTTGGGGACCTAGCATTAGAAAGGGAGGGAAATGCTGAAAGCTGCCAGTCTGTGTTTGCTGCCACCCTCTACACTCTCCCTCACCCCCTCCCATAAAACCCCACCCTGCAATTCTCCTGTTATCACTTATTTGGCCTCAGTCACTCTGTAGTCTCAGGCCTCTGGTGTATGTATTTCTTACAGCAGTCACCACTTACCTGGAGGCAGCACTGAGTAAAAGCTTTGCTGGTCTCTGTCTGATGTTGGGTCTTCCCAGCTCGGGTGCCTGATCCTGTTACAGGCACATCATCAACCACTCAACTGCCTGATTGGCACGTAATACTTCATGACTTCATGGGAGGAGGTAATGCAGTTCTCACAGTATCTCTAGGGCTGGACACCATGACCTCCAAAAAAAATTCCCCTTTAAACATAATATGGAAGAATTTGAATACACATACACACATCTGTTAAACCATTTGCTAAATCATTACAGACTGTATTCAACCAGCCCAAGCTTGCAAAATTCAAAGTAAAATGCCTGTTGTTAAATATGATTCTGCAATTGGGCAGTATTTGCTGAATAAACCTAAATGCAATAATAGCTACACCAACAACCAATTTTAGATTATCAGTTGAATAACCTAGTTTATTTATACTTCCAGAAGCAACATGTAGTCATATGTAAGGACATATCCTCTCCATACGAAAAGAATAGGTTTAAGCCTTGCACCTTTATTGAAGTATTTGGAAGCTGGGGAGTCTATTGTTTCCCATTGTTTTCTCCATTCAAGTGTTTCTCTTACCTAATAATTGCACGCTGGATTGTACCTATGGTGTTATTAGAGCCCAACATAATGCCAAATACATTGCATGCATAACACCAAGCAACTCATACCTACTATAAAAGTGGGTTGTGCAAGTAAATTGCAGAGCCCACAAAAATTTGGGTGACGATCAATCTGAGGTTGAAAATTCATTTCCGTTGTTCCCACTCCATCTTGCTACCGGAAAAATTGTTTTATCAGGCAATGTGGCCTGAAATAATGCTGAAAATTATGTGTGATTTCTAGGAATGCCTTTTCTTTAAAACCACTGTTCTAAATATGGGTAATGTACATTTACAAAGATTGCTATTTTTTCTTTATTTGACATATATTTTGGAAAGCCAATGTAATAACAATTCATGTTTCTTTACAGTCTACTTAATAAGTATCAAAAGAACACTTACCTTTTTCTCATTTATAAGTTCAGTCCTTCTCCCCATTGTCAAATGTGGATATTCTTCTATAATTGGCTTAAACACTTTCACAATGTACTTCTCTCATCACTAGGCTGTAACCCTAATAGTGGTTTCGAGTGAGTGATGGATAGGATACCAGTCAAATATCCTACTTTGTGTTGGGTAGTGTTGAGCTTCTTCAGTGTTTTTGGACCTCCATCAGCCAGACAAGTGGGAGTATTCCATCATAATCCTGATTTATGCCTTGTTGGTGGTAGACAGGCTTTAGGGAGTCAAGAGATGAGTTAATGAGTGCAGAATTCCCAGTCTCTGACCTGCTCTTGTAGCTACAGTATATATATGGCTAATCCCATTTAGTTTCTGCGTAGCCCTCAAGGATGTGGATAGTGGGCATTTCAGTGATGGGCCATTGAATGTCAAGGGGTGATGATTAAATTTTCTTTTGTTGGAGGTGGTCATTCCCTGCCACTTGAGTGGCACAGAGGTTACTTACCACTTATCAGCCTAATCCTGAATGATGTCCAGATCTTTCTCTGTATTGGAATGAATTGCCTCTGTAAATATGGAGTTGCTTTGCATGCTCTATTTTCCGCACATCTGACATACTAATTTTAGACAAGAGGTCATGCAATGGTTTTATGAATGTGCTAGCTGTGCTAACACACTTTTAATTTTAACTAGTGTTTTAATGTTTATTACTCAAAAATCTTCATTTAATCATGCAACTTCAATTTTCAACTTAAAGGTTTGCAAAGGCTAATCTGCAGTGAAAATGGGCAATGATATAAATGTCAAGCATGGAGCTGAGTTGCCTCTTCTGGGAAATGATTTGTAAATGTCGTATGATATAGGAAGATAACACAGACAATAGAGATTCCTTTAAAATGACAAAATTGGTGGGATATCTTTACAGTTTAGAAGTTTAATCCATGATATGTAGGGGTAATTTTTCTGACAATTATGCCTTGTAAATTCAGTAGTATCCCCTTTAATGCAGTTATATCGCATAACATTTTTGTCATTGTTTCACAGGAACGCAAATTTCTAAAATTTGTTTCAAAAGAAATGGAGAACATGTTTATTGAGGAACTTAAGTCATCTGTAAATCTATTGATGGCAAATCTGGAGAGTATGCCTGTTTCGAAAGGAGGCTCAGAATTCAAGCTTCAGAAGCTGAAACGCAGTCATAATACCTCCATCATTGACATGGGGGAGGAAAATGAAAACCAGCTGTCCAAATCTGACGTTGTACTGTCTTTTACACTTGAGGTGAGAAGGTAGCAAGTATTAGCTTTGTATTGTCAGCTGTAAAACTACAATAATGTAATTCATCAAATATGTTTTCCTTGCTTTTCCCATTTTATGATATTGCTTGCAGCCTAATTATGTCTGCCATAGAATAGCTGATTAGCCTGTGGCTGAGAAATTAAAATTGTTGTTAACTTTTTTTCATTCTTTCATGAGATGTGGATATTGCTGTCAAGGCCAGATTTTGTTATCTATCATTTAATAGCCATTGAACTGAGTGGCCTGTGAAGGTATTTCCAAAAGTAATTAAGAGTCAATAATGTTGTGCTGAGTGTAAGCCAGACTAACTAAGTACAGCAGATTTCCTTCTCTAATAGTTTCAAGGTCACTATTACTGAGACTGATTTCAGATTTTATAAATTGAATTTAGATTCCACCAGTTGCTGTGTTATGATTTGAACCTGTGTCCCCAGAGTTTATCCTGGGGTTCTGGATTCCTTGTTCAGTGGAATGACCACAATGCCACCATCTCCTTTCCTAGGATCCTTTTGTACACAGAAACTACTGTTCCGTATCCAACCTCCCTTTCCTCTCAAAAATTTTCAAATGTATTGCCACCTCTCAAAGCTGTGCCTACGTTTCCACTAAATTTTTCAGTCACTAGTTATGGCTGAGGTTGGGGGATGAACAGTTTCCTTTTCAAGTCCCACTCCTCCAATTGTTGCAACCAGGTTGAGGATATAGCCAATTATATTGTTGAACTCATGAATAAAAGCATAAGTCACTCGTTTTTGCACGTCGAGTTTTTGACTGTGAAGTTGTTCTGCTCATGCACTGGGGTGTCTTTCTGGAGCAGTTGTGTTGACTGAATTGCTTTTGCTTCAGGCAGTGGAGTAGATTCCAAAAAAGCTGTTCTTCAGAAGCTCTCACATAGTGGTAAAGACGACTTCCAGTGGTTTGTACTCTCGAGCTTTACCAACAGATATTATAAGGAAAGAGACAAGGAGAACTCGGGTGTTGTTCTGCAGAGAAGTAGTGGAATGACTCCATGAAGTCTCCCTGTTCCTTCGAATCCCACATTGCTAACGAAATGCACTGGATACGATAGCAACAAAGTGCCCTTTGTTTAAAGGCTCAAGATATACTTACATGGGTCTACATCGATCTTTTAAGATGTGATATCTTTATCACAATTTTCATCACATACTTGGCCAAACTTTCAAACACTGAAACAATCCTCATTAAAGTCAGGTGATGGTGACCATAATAGAATCCCTTCTTATCCTTCTAAATTTGTCTTCAACCTGGGACAGTGTTGACCATGACCTCCTCCAATGCCTTTCTTCAATCATCCAAATAGATAGGACTGCATTTGCCTGCTAGCTCCATTCCCATCTACATCCTGCCTTTGACAACATCACTGATGAGAACAACATTAGTGTTCACATATATACTGATAATATACAGCTCTAACTCACCTCTCTTGATTCCTCCATTCTCTGACTTGTCACACTGCTTACCTGGCACTTACTACCTAGACGGGCAGAAATTTCCTATAGTTAGCTTTTGGGAAGACTGAAGCAATTATCTTTGGCCCTGCTACGTTGGATTGAAAGAAATTGAATTACAATAAATGACGACAAACAGGAAAAGAAACCAGTTGAAGATTTACATAATGGAAATATTGCTGCATTTGTTTAGTAAGTGCAATGTTGAAGTTTGGTGTTGAATAATGCAGTGTGTTGATTTTGTTTACACAGGAATGAAAGAATTTCCATCCTGACTCTCATAGGTTTTGACTAAAATACCCTTTTACAATTTTGAATAGGTTCTAATGGGCATGAGTCTATGAAGCTGCTCAAAAACTGGCTTTACTGGCAGTCTCAAGAGGCCGCAAATCTGGTAGTTTAGGAAATAAGAGTCATACTTGTGCAGTGGCTGATGTCTTTATAAGGTTGTGGGTGAGACAGGTTGTTAATTTTCTCTACTAGAATTGTGAGTGCACAGTGCTCAGTCCAGAGGTTACACCTATCTCTTCACCTTTGGAATATCTCGCTTGGATGTCTACAGATTATTTTAGAAAATGATTTGAAAAATTGAAGTTGTAATATTAAATTGTTTTGTTTTGTAGGTCGTAATCATGGAAGTGCAAGGGCTAAAGTCTTTAGCACCAAACCGCATTGTGTATTGTACAATGGAAGTGGAGGGAGGAGAGAAACTACAAACTGATCAGGCTGAAGCTTCTAAACCAACGTGAGTGGTTTTGTAATATTGTTTCACGTGTGCTGTGTTGCCTGCTTTTTTTCCAGTTACGTTCTGTATGCCTTCTCCAGACTGAGATTTGATTCTTCATGTTTGGGCAATCCATAGATATATAAGGGTATTCTGTGAAAGATTAATGATTTCCATTGACCCTGTGGCTCTGTAATATAAATTGGCTGTTACTGTTTCTTTTGCTTTTGAAGAGACGACTAACATAGACAGGGGTATATCAATGGATGTTACTTATATGGTTTTCCACAAAGCATTTGATAAAGTTCCATATAATAGTCAATTAGCAAAAATTGAAACTTGTGAAATTGAAATGATTATTGGCCTAGTTAAGAAATTGACTAAGCAGTAAGATACAATGAATCAGGATAATGACAGGTCCTGCGATTAGTGGGAGTGAATACTGATATGATGTGTGAGACCAGGATCTGTATTCGGCCTTCAATTATTCACTTCTTTTAATGACAGGTCTTGTATTAGAAAGTTACATTTCCAACTTTGATGACACCGAGATAGGCAGCATTGTAAGCAGTGCACATGAGAAAATAATATTGCAGACATATTAATAGATTGAATGAATAGCCAAATCTGGCAAATAGATTTCAATATAAGCAAATGTAACATCACCATTTTAAGGTTAAAAAGTGTATAACAGGGTCATTTCTAAATGTGGAAGTGCTAGACACAGAGGAATTCTATGTACATCATTATAATGTTGTGAACAGATAGAAAATAACCAAAAAAATGGTAATAGAATTCTGACTCTTGTATGTTCTTCTACTATATACCATTTAATAAATCATGCTCCAGGTATATAAAACCGTGGTTTGACCATGCCTGAAATACTGTGAACCGTTCTGGAAGCCACACCTCAGTAAGGATTCACAGGGGCTCCCAGATTTACAAATGTCTGACTTACAAACGCTCAAACTTATGAATGCAGTCACATATAGGAGTGTTTTAAGGTTGATCTGACATACGAACACTTCCTGTACTTAAGGCTACCTTTTATTGTCCAGCGTTATGTTCTGACTTGCAATAGACTCAAGAACTGAACCCGCTTACAACCTGGGGACTGTGTGTACTGTCTTTGGAAGGAACTCTATTTATTAACACTAGCTTCTAAAGGTTAAATTACGAGGAGAGATTAGACAAACCACAGTTTGTATTCGCTGGAATCTAGAAGACTAAGTGGTGATTAGGTCAAAATTTTCAAAATCAGTGAAGACGTTTGATTGAGTAGATGGGAGAATAAAACCAAAAAGTGTTTGAGAAACTCAGCAGATCAGGCAGCATCCATGGAGAGAGAAACTGTGGGCTAAATCTTACCTTTTTTGGAAAAGTGTCAGTTATGTTGAATTTTTTTTCGTATTATTTGCCACAAGGGCACGCGGGGGATCTCCCGCTGTACCTTAGCAAACTCGCCTCATTAACTACCTACCTCGTCCCTATGGTGTCATTCTCTTCAATTCTAGCCCCATCGTACCAAGTGCTGTTCTGGGAACAGTTTGCCTCTCAGCAGATATCTGTAGAAAGATTAGCATACTTGGCACCTGTGCCATTTTTTAAAAAGTGTCTGTGCACCCAGACAAGCATTGGCAACTGGCATTGCCCCTCACTGGCAACATAATGGCACAGCTGGCTCAAAGCCATGCCACTTATTGCATAAAGCTGGCATGGCTGACACTCGTTCGCATCTATAACCCTATTCTCTCACCCTAGTCATTGTTTAACTAGCAGGCTACGCAGTTCACTTGTCCTTAGCTACTTTCCATCTAAACACCCTCTGTAAGTCACTGCTACCCAGTCTCCAATCTCCACTGGAGACCCAAATCTTAGCATTGTCCAGTAAGGGAACATCACATATCAGCAAATAGTTGGACAATTCCAAATATGAGCTTTTATTTACAGCCAGAGAAAGCAGACAGAAATGAAATAAATGCAGGCTGCAGATTACTCCTGCAATGGAAATCAAATGTGGATATGATGGCTAATGATGATTTAATATTCCATTATGATCTGCTGCACCCATCTACAAGAAGCAGGTATCGTTGAGGTTCTGCCTGGCTTATAGCACCCAATGCCAGCTGGGCAATGACATTTACAAGGAGAGCTTCCAACTTCCCTGTGCCTTCATCCTCCTCCTTGGAAGATTACTCCCTTTCCCCCAGTTCTTCAGCATCCAGCCCGTTGCCTTCTCCAATTGTGCAGAGCACAGCATGCCAAGATGATGCAGCACACACTATCCAGGCTACATTGTTCCTGCCTCGTCCTCCTCCACTGCTCTCCACCATCGCCCTCCTTCATCCCCCCTCCACCATCTACAAGACCAATCCAACATTGGAACTTCACCGTTAGCAGCCTATTGTCTGCTCAAGGTCTAGATCAGATCCATGGTCATAGTGAATGCACCCAATTGTGAAGGTGCCGTACAGGCTGATTGCCCAATGTATTACGTCAAAAAAGGAGTGCCTGCTGTACTCTGACCCCCTTCCCCTCCCATTCCTATATCAATCATCCAGACTCTGTCAGCATTGCACACACCAGAGCACCGATGGCATAGTGCAAATGCCTTTGACGAGCATTTGGACACTAAGCATGTTCATTCACCACACATTGAAAATGGTCAAAGACGGGAATAGGGTTTAAATGTAGCTGCAGTTTGCAAACCCGTTTAATTGTCTATTTCCCTTCAATGTATTGGCATACATGGCACCTGGATCTCTGCTTTTGTCCATCAAACTGACACAGACTCCACTCATTCTTGAGATTTTTCTGAAGAAGGGTCCTGACCCGAAACATCAACTTTCCAGTTCCTCTGATGCTGCCTGACCTGCTGTGTTTCTCCAGCTCCACACTTTGTTATCTCCACTCACCCTTGGTGTTTTTCCAGCTATTTTTCCATTGCAGTTAGTATCTAGAGATACTAAGTGTTTTATAATACTTCCATTGCTGAATCTCCCAATACCAACATCCTGGGCATAACCATTGACCAGAAAATGAACAGGACTGGCTATATAAATACTGTGGCCTCAAGAACAGGTTAAAGCAGAGGTTTTTGACCAGTGTGCCTTAGTAAGGTGAGAAGTGTGCTGCAAAATTCTCAGGAAACAGCACCACTCCACGTAGTGTTCTCATACCATGCATGAACGAAGATTTGGCACTGTGCATGTGTGGACATTTGTCCACTGATTATGCAGACTGCATGCACATGCACAGGCCCAAACATTTGGTCTGAACATGTGCAATGATTGATGATCATATCTCTGGGATAACAAGAAACTGTGTATGTGTGGTACAGAGACACACAATTGTTGAACGATGGTTGAACTGGCCAGCCTGCCTGGACATATATCTGCATTAGCACTGATTTTAAGGTGAATATATTTAGATTTTTATCTGGTTAAGCTGCTGATCTAAGCCATAGAATAGATTCTAAGGGGAAAATAAGTTGTTGTATGTTTGTTTTATGTACTATGTTGCAACCTCTCTAGTAAGTCCGTAACCATAGTAAATTCAAGTAACTGTGACATTTATGAGCAATCATTTCAGCTGTAAAAAGTGTCATGAAATTGTTCATCTCATTGCAGTGTTTCATGATACTGAAAATGTTGGGAACCACTACATTAAACGCTAGAAGTTGTGCAGCGAATAACTCACCCTGTATTCCCCAGTGCCTGCCACCATCAATGAGACGTGAGTCAAGAGTGTGATTGAACACTCTCCACTTGCCTGGATGAGTGCAACACGAATCACACCCCAGAAGTGTAACCCTCCCAGGACAAAGTCATTTGCTTGAATGGTACACCATCTTCAACATTCACTACCTTTGCCACCAATGCGCAGTGGCAGCAATGTATAGCATCTTTAAGGTACAACACTAAATTCACCCAGGCTCCTTTGACAGCATCTTCCAAAGTCACAACCTCTACCACTTAGAAGTGTAAGAGGAGTAGAAGTTAGAAGTTCCTTCTAAGCCACGCTCCATTTTGACTTGGAACCACATCACTGTTCCTTCACTGTCATTGTGTATTACTCCTGGAGCTTCCTTCCTAAAATCACTGTGGGTTTCTCTGCACCACATGGACCGCAGTGGCTCATGTCTCATAGATGGTGGCACAAGGCCCTCAATCTGCCCTTTTCTAATCATTTTGTCACATAGGCCTGCTTCCTTTCACCTACAGGTCTTTGATAGTGTTAGTGAGGATGTCAGACTCAGACCTGTGATTTTCAGAGCTCAAGAGATCTGGAGTTCTGGGCAATGGATGCAACTGTGTCCCCTCCCTGGAGAAACAGAAGAGAAATCTTCCCACAGTTTCTGAGCTGTGGGACCCAAAATGTTGAGATAGAAGCCTCTGCAAGGAACTTTGTATCTGCCTGCAAGCTCTGAAGTCAGTGTCTGAGTGTATGGAGGAAATGAAAGTTGTGACCATTGAATTTTCTGGCCCTCATTTATAATAGCATCAAAGAAGCTTTTACTTTGTAGGAATCAGTGGCACATTGGAGCCTGTGCCAAAGTGGCCTAGTACCAGTCAATGCCTCCTCCTTCTCTATAGAATTACACTTGTTATATGAGGTGTAACAGCAAACTGTTTAGATTGAGAGGACAGGATCAATCTGATTATGTTGTACTCTGCACATTGACTTTTAGCTCCTGGGTTCAGAATGTAGATAGCTGCCTCTCAGGGCTTTAATCTCATCACTGCCAAAGAAACCAAATGATGAGATTGGACAGGGACCCAGTGCCTAGTGAAATGGGCAGTGGTTGGAGGTAACTTGAATGAGGTTGCTCAGTATCATTTGTCAGTATAGCAACACATGCCAGGTCTTTTGTTTTTTCCCTTTGGAGCAGCATGTTAGTTTCAGCACATGTGAAATGGGCAGTGATAATGGGCAGAAGTACCAGAAATCCAATGACCAATGACTGCCTGTCAGGGCACAGTTTGATACTCAAGGAAAGACAAGTTTATTTTAATTTCACT